GTAGCTGGCAGGTAGGTAGACAGGCAGGGGGTTGTAGGCAGGCAGGCTGGCAGGCAGGGGTGGCAGGCAGGCAGGCAGGGGGTAGCTGGCAGGTAGGTAGACAGGCAGGGGGTTGTAGGCAGGCAGGCTGGCAGGGTGGCAGGCAGGCAGGCAAGGGTGGCAGGTAAGCTGGCAGGCAGGCAGACAGGCAGGAGGTGGCTGGCAGGTAGGCAGGCAGACAGGGGTGGTAGGCAGAAAGGCAGACAGGGGGTGGTAGGCAGGCAGACAGGCAGGGGGTGGCAGGCAGGCAGGCAGGTTGGCAAGCATGCATGCAGCTCATTCTCTGTCGTATACTAATGTTCTGATCGATTTTAATTGGTTGTAATCAATAAAGAACTCTCCGTCTATATGCGTGTATGTCTATCTGTCAATCTGTCTCTCCATCTATCTACCCATCCATCTATCTGTCTCTCCATCTATCTACCCATCCATCTATCTGTCCATCCATCTATCTATCCATCCATCTATCTATCTATCCATCTATCTGTCCATCCATCCGTCTCTCCGTCTGTCTCGGCAGGGTCTGATGTTCGGCTATGCTACCGATGAAACTGAGGAGTGCATGTCTGTCTATCTGTCCATCCATCCATCTGTCTCTCCATCTATCTGTCCATCCATCCATCTGTCTGGTTGTCTCGGCAGGGTCTGATGTTCGGCTATGCTACCGATGAAACTGAGGAGTGCATGCCCCTCACGATCGTTCTCGCTCACAAGCTCAACGCCAAGATCGCCGAGCTACGCCGCAGTGGCGAACTCTGGTGGGCGCGACCAGATTCTAAGACACAGGTAGGGAGGGCAGTGCCGCGCACGCGTACGCTAATATCTCCTTCTCGCCTCCCACGCCGCGTCTCGGCGTTTCTCGTTTCTTCCGCCAGGTGGCAGCGAATGCGTGCGCGCGAATATTTCGTTCTCTTCCCCCCTTCCGTTTCATCTTATATTTTATTCTCGGCGTCGGTACTAGCGCACGATCCCGCGTTGCGCGCGCCTCGGACGCTGGCAGTCATTGCGCTGCCGTCCCGCCGGGCAGCGTCGGCGTCATCGTCTTAAATCGTCCAACCTCTCCGCTTCATAGGTGGAGCCGCGCTTCGAGGGCGGTGCGTGCGCACGCGAATATCTCGTTCTCTAACCCCGCCCCCCCGCCTCACAGCAGCCAGGGCCTAATTCAAGCAATTTTTCATGCTGAATACCGGCGCCCAAATTACGACCCCTAGCAAAACGCCTAAATTACCAAAATTCCTAAAAAACGCCCAAATTAGCAGAGAGCTCTCTGTAAATTGTGAAAATTAAATCTGAGGTAAAAAGAAAACATATTCATGGATATATTGAGACAAGTGTGTTATCAGGATGATATTAATTTTTATGTTATTATACATCTACGTATATATATATATCTATATATATATATATATAATATATTATATATATATATCTAGATATATATATATACATATATCTATATATATATATATATATACATATATCTATATATATATATATACATATATATATAGATA